CACGGTCTCCCTCACGAAAGATTAGAAATTACGATGATCTAGAAGTTTCGTGCCGACGAAACGGCTAACATCTTGGCAAAAGCTATGTCTCAATGTGTTCACTGTAAGATTGATTTGGAAGCCCGTCCATATGCAGAAGGCTCGGCTTTACTGCAAATGGAAATAAGCAAATGCATTGCAAGACTCACGAAGCACAATATCATCCTGTTCCTAAATCGGACACCGAAACATAACGGTAATCAAAATGCAGGTCATATTTCACATCCAGGATAGGTTCATATCAAATAAGATGGACCGACTATCCCAAGACTCCACGAATATGGATTGAATGCATTTCCTCAGTTGCTTTCATTGTCGGAACAAGCAATCTGTAGGTGACGGGTGGTTAATAAACACCCCGCCCTGGACAAATATTATCAAGCTACTCACGGAAAGTTTCCGGATCTGACAACGTCCTGTGTTCGGAGCCCGAATCCAACCAAGCAACGCTTATCTACGACCTAACTGGCTGTCGCAGAAAATAGGCTGCAGTAAGTGGTGAAGTTTTGGACTCTGTGGCCGGCTGAATCAACATTTACAATTGTCAATACAGGTAACGGCATGTAGACAGTTCCACGTATATACAGTAGATGGGTTATCTCGTGAGATTTTAGCCGAAATTCTGGCATATGTCTTAATTTCGTAGAGATTACTTAAGTAGGGTTGTAAGATTAATCATCAAACGACACAGTCCTAAGGTATTTCAGTCAAACCGGGATCCTGGCTTTTGAACGAGCTTCTTCTCAACCGTCTGCAAGAAATAAACTCTGTAAAACAACTGCTTAAGTAATATTAATTTTTCGCATTAACTTTTGGTGATTTGTAAATTAAATTGTATTTTGTAGAAAACGTGGACAAAAATATCCTTTCTTGTACTCATTTGGCAGAAAATTGTGTCTTTTCTAAAGTTTCCACTTGAAGAGAGAGTATTTGCTGGTTTTCAGAGAGTTTCTAATTGTGGGATTTTTTAAGATTGTGAAATGTTCATTCATCCAACATTACATTGACCTGCCTCAATACGCTGAGCCTGGCCAATTCTAGAAGAAGTCGCTCGAGGGAATACGAACGATTTTTTTGCAATAGGCAAGGATTAAACAGTGTCACTATACAACCCGCCTAAATGGCAATTACGTAGGACGACAGGTAAAGCCAGTGCAAACACTGGCACCTTCACTCAGTCTCCTATTACCAGATCGGACTGGTGCGGACTGTAGGGAACGACGGCAGCCGCCGCGACGATGCCCCACCCCCAGTGTAGTGGGCTTATGACTTTTCACCGGCATTTGGCCGGTACGATTGTGAAAACCGATATCAACCGCGTGCTCTGCGGAGTGAGCACAGCAGCAGTGACTTGCATGTGAATTATTTTATAGTGCTAACAGACTTGCGCAATGTCTGCTGCACTTCTCCCCTCTTCTTCAGCCACCCGAACCCGCTGGCAGCACAGAGTCAGGACGATCAAAGGCTGGATCAAGCGCATCGGCTGACAAAGCAAAACAGCCTGCCTACGAGTGCCACACGCGAACTACTCAATGAACAATGAACCAGGTTCCCTTAAGAACTAGTGGTGGATCGACTCCATCTGAGTGAGAGTGTGACATAAGCACATGAAGAAAGGGCCCTTATAGCCTGACTCTCAGTCCTGAGAGGACCCTGCTAACCGCCAGGTAGCCGCCATCCAAGCCACGACTGTTAGCGCATCGTAGGATCTCACCCACTTATAACAAACGCATGACTTTTGACCGCAGTTAGGAATACCGATGAGTATTGAGGACCGTCGTACCGCCAGATCGCCCGACAATAAAGCATGTTAACTTTCCGCGTTTCGAAAACTAAGTCCAAGGTTTTTGCATGCTTTTGATATTCTCAGCGGAAATCATGGTGCCAAACGATTATGGAGTTTGATATGACATCTTCAAAAGAATGGGTACAAACAGCTAATCTTCATTGACATTCATTTCATGCAAGGAATATACAGGAAGATATTTGTAGCTCAGTGAACTATGAAGACAACGCAGACTCTCAACTACTGCACAAAGGCAAGTTAATATACAAGGAGAGTCCGGAACAGACGTGGAAAACCTAGCACACATGTCACCACACCGAGAACGGCTGCAGTCGGATCAGTCAGAAAAAGGAGACAAGCGGATCTGTCAACTCTCTGTGTTGTATACCAGAAGCGTTTTCTAGGCAACAGACGGAAAACCCCAGATTTTGGCATTGACAACTTCTATCGATTTGAAGCAACCGCGCATAAAATGGCCGCCAGAATCATGGGCAAACTGAATACAGATGAACAGAGCGTGTCTATGTGTGTGTGGCGCCTCCCAGGGGTGCACGGGTGATCAGCGGTGGGTTCACGTGACGGACGTAGTAGGTCGCTCGCTTGCTTGTAAGTGTAGACTACACCTAGCGTCAACTTGTAGCACCCAACTCTCACTTGTGGCTCCCCGAAGCTAGGCTCTGCCTACCGGACACACCCCGGTAACCGCCTCGACCGGTGAGTTAAACCAGGTGAGAGTATACGTGTGTGCATATTCTCACACGGTAATCTTGGTTGGTCGAATGGACAACCGCATCGGCGTCGCTGAGATGAGGCTCCGTCTGAAACACCGTGGGAGGCCAAAAGGTAAGTGAACCTCCAGGCAAGCGAACGTTGCACTGCTGCTTTTGCTTCGCTTTTTCTTGTTTACCCGCTTTTTGCTGCTTTCGTGTCTGTCCTTGTTGAATCTCCTCTGTGGCTTTTGTTCTTGCTGTTCTGCCTGCTTGCTTTTGTCTGTTTGTTTATGTCTGTCCTTACCGCAAGCTTAATGTCGTCCTGTTGATTGTGTCTGCTCACCGCTTATATTTCAACAGCCAGCTAACCTAGAGAATGACAGGAAAGCTGTGCATCCCGTCTCTCTACCTTCCCCCCTTCAGCTTACGCGGTGTCGTAGACAGTCCCAGGCTAACTCGGGTCGCTCTCTCGCTAAACAGAGACGTAGCCCATAGTGGAGTTCGGCAGCCGTCTGACACAGCTGGGCAGCGCTAGTCACCCCGGCGAGGGGAAAGGGTCTGGAAAAGGTGCCCTAAACAAATACTGGGATTCACGTCGTCTGCACGCTAACCATGATCTGCAGACGCAAAACTCACGGTCGAAACAACCAAACCAGAAACAACACTCTCTTTATCTTCCCCCGCATCCGCCGTCCCACCCCACAGGCTGGTAGGGTGAGTCCGCTAACTCTGACAGCCTGGGATTTTCGTTTCCTTTTAGACAATCCGAAGAGCAGCCGACCGAAACGGAGGACGGCGCTAGCGGCTCGGTAACCAGCGCGCTAAAAGGTGGGTATCGCTGTGCTAGACGAGACTCGCTTCTCCGAACAGGGCCAACTGGAGTAGGTTGGTGCCGACTACACCTTCTTCTGGAGCGGTCGCCCAAAGGCAAGGCGACGGGACGCGGGCGTCGCCTTTGCCATCCGGAACGACATCGTGGGGCTATTGCCCTGTCTGCTGCAGGACACCAACGATCGCCTGAGGAGCCTCCGCCTGTCTGTCCGGGAAGAAAATTCGCACCATCGTCAACGCCTACGTTCCCACGATGACCCGCCCGGACACCCCAAGTAACACATTCCACGAAGAGCTGCATGCCCTCTTGGCAACTGTGTTGAATTTGGATAAGTTGATTGTCCTTGGTGACTTCAACGCCCGCGTCGGCACAGACTATGCTGCCTGGAGAGGAGTGTTGCGTCCCTATGGTCTCAACGGCTCCAATGACAGTGGGCCGCTCCTTCTGCGAACCTGTACAGAACACGACTCCTCTTGACGAACACCTTCTTCTGACTCCCAATGCGAGAGACGGCCACCTGAATGCTCCCTCGGCCGTGACTCTAACACCTGCTGGACTATGTCCTCGTCCGGAAGCGGGACCGACGGGACAAAGGCAGTCCCGGGTGCCAACGGGTGGACCGACCATCGCCTCGTCATCTCGAAGATGCGGATTCGCCTGCAGCCTCGCAGGAAACCTCAAGGTAAGTGACACCCAGATAAGCTGAATATTGCCTTGTTGTCTTTGCCTGCTTACCATCTCCATTTCAGCATCGAGCTAGTTCAACGGCTAGCCAACATTCCAGTCGCCGCCGCCGTTGACGACAACGCCTCCGTGGAGAACCGATAGTGTCAACCGGGGGACACAGTCCAGTCGACGCCCCTGGCCATCTTCGTTTTCGCAAGTCGCCAACACCAGGATTGGTTCGACTACAGCAACGCCGTCATCAGCAGCCGGCTCGCAGAGAAGAACAGTCTACACAAAGCCTACGTCACTCGCCCCACCGACGACAACAAAGCAGCCTTTTATGTCAGCGGTTCAGCGAAATGAAGGATGCCTGGACGGTTCTCAAGGCAGAGGACATCCAAGGGTACGGGAAAGCGTGCGGATCGGACGCGATACCCGCTGAGATCAACAGGTACGGCGATCCCCAACTCATGGATCATCTGACGGCACTCTTCCAGAAGATGCAGCGCTAAGGGGAAGTCCTGCAGGACTTCAAGGACGCAACGATCGCCCATCACTATAAGCGGAAAGATAATCGCCGGCTCTGTGACAACCATCGAGGCATCTTCTTACTGGGCATCGTTGGAAAAACCTTCGTTCGCATCCTTCTCGGCCGTCTTAACAACGACCCAGAGCAAGGTCTCCTGCCGGAAAGTCAGTGCGGCTTCCGCCGTCATCGTGGAACCACGGACATCATTTATGCCACCCGCCAAATGCAGGAGAAGTGTCTGGAGATAGTCATGCGGAAAATCATGCAGAAATTGGGCTGTCCCGAATGATTTACTCATATGGTGCGTCAGCTTCACGACGGCATGATGGCGCGAGTCACGGACAGTGGAGCTGTCCCATAGGCGTTCGCAGTGACCAACGAAGTGAAGCAGGGATGCGTCCTCGCGCCTATCGCCTTCAGCCTCATGTTCTCTGCCATGTCGACGGACGCCTACTGTAACGAACGCCCCGGAGTCTGCATCGCCTACAGGACGGATGCTCAACTACTAAACCACCAGAGGATGCGCTTTCAATCGCGCGTATCCACAAGCACAGTTAACGAACTTCTGTTTGCCAATGAGTGCACCTTGAACTAAACTACTGAAGGAGACCTGCAAAGAAACATGGACCTTTTCTCCGCCGCCTGCGAGAACTTCGATTTGATCCTGAACACGGGGAAGACGGTGGTCATGCACTAACCGCCATCCAACACTGCCCAAAATGCACCGCAAATTACCGTAAATGGAACCCAACTGCTGGTGGTGGACAACTTCATGTATGTGGGCAGCACAATCTTCCGCAGCACCAAACTCGATGATGAAATGGCCCACCGAATTTCGAAGGCCAGTCAAGCCTACGGTCGTCTTCAAAACCCAGTTTGGCATCGTCACAGTCTTCAACTCAGCACGAAACTGAAGATGTACAAGACCGTCGTTGCTGTATGGAACAGAGACCTGGACAGTGTACACGAAGCAGGCACGCGAGACATGCAAATCTCCACTGACGCCGCTGCTGCCTCACAACGCCCAAGCCCAACCGCCTCCAACGTGTCCATGATGTCAACGGACATCCCGGGCGCCAATTGCATTTGCTGGACACCTCCGGATCACCTGCGGCACCCGGACTGCACCAACCACCGTCTCTCCCTCCACTTCTTCCTCGCCTCTCACGCCGTCAACTAACGTTGACCGCCTTCCCAAACCACTACTACCATCCTTCTCCCCTCCCCTCCCCCTCTTTCACCGCCTCAATGTCTGCCGCTCTGGCGTCTGCCATTGCCATCGACACTACACACAATCCTGATATACCAACAAACACCAACACTACCACCGTCAACACCAGTGACGAGGATCGGGTTTATACTTGTTCTCATTTCTATCGCACCTTTACCTCACACATCGACCTGGTCGGACACTTGCAAATCTATCGCACAGAGACTGGTGAGCCAGTGCCTACAGCACCAGTCTACAATCGCCTCGTCCGCCTCTACTGTCCACATTACACTGGCACATTTATTCACCGCATGGTGTATTAGGCCACATGCGCGTCCACGAAAACCAACTGTAGACAACCGCCGGCCACAACACACCATCACATCTTCCCTCACCACCGTCTCACCGCGCATCAACATCACCTATCGCGAGCACCCAACTGCCACCTCCCACGTAGGCGGGAAGTGTGTATCTCGGTCACTTCACCATGCGGCTCCCCTGCTGCATGTGTGATCGGAATTTGAGACGAAGACGGTGCATCGAACGCCGTGGCTCGTAAGGCAGCAGACGGACGTCCCAACTCAGTCCACGCAGTCTGTCCACTTGTTGTGTGGTGTGGTGAGCTAAGAGCCAAACAGTCACGGCCGCTTCCCATGCGATCTGTGACACTTATGTATGTGAGAAGTGTTTCTGTTCGTGTGTGTGCTTTGTGGGTAGTGTCCCTCAGTCGACGACAGTTCTGTTACCCTACCTTGAAGGTCGACGGCCTAGACTGAGTGCTAAGCTGCATTTCGACCTTCTAAGTCAAAGGGTCTGAAAGCGTGTGCTATGTCAGTATCAACAAACTATGGCCCTCGCGGCCTGCTATGCGCTTCCAGTTCCCTGATACCTGGTTACCTGCCGGTAGATGTGCTTGCGCTCCCGTTGGATACCGTTTCTGCGTCAACTTGCCGTGGGGTACACGGTGGACATAGTCGGAGACGACGGTCGAACTCCCGTGCGTGTGCGTGGTGATCTCTCAGCAGATCGGCTTATAAGGTACGCGAGCACAAGCCGATGCTATCAAGAACTGGCCCACTGTAACAAATCGTTTCTCATATTGCCAGGGTAGGCCATGGTTTAGACTTCAAAGAAACGGCGGCGTTGCTGTGGACAGGCAGGCAGACTGGTATCTTGAGGCCTAAATATCTTATAGTAATACACAGACAAGAGAATTGACCTGTCTTTCAAATGTCGTATGTTCCCTATTTATTGCTTGACGGTGGAACCCCCATTTTTAATCGAGGACAAATGCCGACCTGCTTTTTTCCTTATTATCCACGACCATGGGCTCCTGTATGGATCTGCATGCCTAGAAGGGTATGTTAGATATTCTACTTCGTTTTAGTGTTAAAATCATGCAGATGTTAAACCCCATTCTCTCGAAACGATTGCGTTCTGGCTATATAAATGCAGGAATTTTGACCCAAGAGCGGTGGAACGAGTGATGAAAAGACATTCAGGAGAATTCAGCCAAAAGCGCCAGAAGCAAACAATGTTACGCAATCCAAGAGCATAAAACCAGCTTGTCTGACTGTCTGCTGTAAAACGAACGGTAGCGCTATTTTCGAATCTAACGGGGCAAGTGGAACAAAGGGCTGGTAAAAACTAAAATTCGTGATAAGCCAATATTATCCTACATGTGCACATCGGAGACCTAAATGCGGCACACCTCCCCATCCACGCAAGTGTCCGCACGGTTCAACACTGTTGTTATGAAAACGAAAGGCAGCATCATAGAGTGCGATATAAAAAAGCCTTGCGCACTGGTGGGGAAGAACCTGTTAAAAAACTCATTAAAGTTTGCAATAGAAGGAAGGATTGGTACAGCAGGATTTTTTACAGGGTTAAATGCATTCAAGTTTTGGAGAGAGTGTTTGAATTATATGGACTGATAGACACACATGTAAGCCATAAGCGTCCACATATCAGTAACCCAGGTGGCCCTTTGTCATGGGACAGCTTGCTCAGAGCGTTTTAGATGACTGTTGCTGGAGCAGGTTATTGGATCGTCGGACTTCCGACTCACAAACGGCAAAGTTGGGGGGATCTCTGTCACTGCTACGGAAATTTGGCCCCGCCGATCAGTGGAACAGTATGTCCCGGAAGGCGATGAGTTGGAGAGGAGGACGTATTGGCCAGGCTTACCACCAGACAGTACGGTACCAACAATGCGGACAGGCGATATTTGTTCTGAGGTTGAGGGGGCAGGGGTGGCCGTGATGGTGGATACGACAGACTGAGCGTGGGGCA